GTCTTTCTGGTGAGCGCATGCACCCTATAGCAAAAACTTCTCCAAAAAAAAAAAAGACTATTGTGCATAAAGAAGTCATAGCTACAACTTGTCACTTGAATAAATGTAATATGAAACTGATAAGTAAATAATCCATATGTATATGAAATAATTCATATATACTTGAAAATTTGGTCAAATTTTGCAGAGATAGATTATAAGCTTTTAAGGGCAAAAAGTAGGAATAAGAAAATAAAAATAAGATCATGAGTTATTTTTAAATATATAAAGGTACAAAAGAAAATATGAAAATCCATTATTCCACTATCATGTTTCAAGGTTTTTCCTTTTTTTTCTTTTTTTTTCTTTTTTTTTTAAGAGTGCATGCACTTGCTGGAGACACAAAGAGTGAGAGATGGAAAGCTGGAAATCACCCACTCTTCCACAGGGAGACAACTATGCTGCCATCTCTTCTCCATCCTCCTCTCAAGATTGGGCATACACTCAAATGTGCTCAGCATGTTTTATAAGTCATGGGTCCAGGATTCAAACCATGAAGTTGGCATGTGAGATCCAACACCTCAACCACCACATCATTGTCTGGCCCCAGGTTTCTAAACTTATTCATTTATTTATTTGTTAATTTGCCAGAGGGTGCATGTGATCACTGGAGATAGAAAAAGAGAGAAAAAAGCACCCTCCATAGGGCTGTGTCATGCTACAGTCCCTTCTCCATCTTTCTCCTCCTTTCAGGATTTTGGTCATGCAGCATATGTGTGTTTCTCAAATCGCCCCAGATTAATACATTTTAATAAAGATTATTAATTAATGATGTATTTAATATTACTTAAATTTATGCATTTGTTTATGTAATGAGAGAAAAAAGCAAGCATCATCAACAGAGTCTTAACACTGAGATCCTCCCTACAGCCTTCTCAGTGCACACTGGTCCACTGGGAACCACCAGGTTTCAAATCTTCCATATGGCGTCCAGCATTGCAGAGCTTAAGCTACCTGCTGTGCCACCAGGCAGAGCCAATTTAAAAAAAAAAAAAAAAGGGCACTAAGTCTTTGAACTCCCACTGGTCTGTATATTTACAGTACATCTTAATTCAGGCCCTAAAGTTAGATTTCATCAATTTAAGTTGAAAAATAGATTCATATATCCAAGTTGTTCCAACGATACAAAGCAGTTTTCCAGTGACTGACTAGATAGCATCAGGTGTTTAAATTTTAAACTAATTAAAATCAACTAACGGTTCAGTTTTTTCAGTTGGTAGCCACAAGTCAAATGCTAGACAACCACATGTGGTGGACACCCTAATGAACAGTGCAGCTTAAAAAGATACATGAAGTACTTATCCTGTAGCACCTTTCTTTTTTTCTACTCAATGTACATAATTCTTAAAAATCTTTGCCATATCCTAGAACCGAAATGCATAGACAAAAATGGATAGCTTTGAATTTCAGCATAGATGGCATTGAAAACAATCATGTTACCACTAAAGTTACTCAGTATATCTTAAAAAAAAAAAAAAAAAACTTTCGAAAAAAGCACTTTGGAAACGTTTAAAGTACTTCTGTTTAAACAGATTGTTAAACCGGTCATATCTTCTCATAAACGAAGACGCGCTGTAACTTGCAAAGGCGCAGCTTTCATATTAGCCCCTCCCAGTCTTCTACCCCGCCTTCAAGCACGCGCCCACAAGCACGTACACACATGTATGCACGCACACACATATGCCTGCGACACACATAGGCGCTCACATATATGCAAGGTTGAAGCCCTCCAAAACCTGATTCCAACCTTGACTGTGAACTGCACTTATGATAAGTTCATACAGCAGCCCTAAATATGAAATTTTTATAAATAATGAGCCATAGTGGTTATAAAAACTTGTTTAACATGTAGATTCACTGAAGAGATCCTTCTATTTGCCAAAAATGAATCTTTCCCTCTTATGTGCTATTTCTGTACTTTTTCTCTAATTTTACTGAGACATGTCTCATGTGCTTGTTTAGCTACCTCTCTGCCATACTAGAAAGTGAGCTCCAAAATAACCAGGACACTCTTCCAATTATTTTTGAATCACCAAGACCTAGAAAAGATCCTAATAACCAATAAATAAATGTTCACTAAGTCTTAAAAAAAAAAAAAAACTATATTGAGACCTGCAGTTGGCATACTGCCTATGTCACTAGACTCCCATGTAGTCAACCACAGTTCAAGTCCCAGACTCAGTGGCTTAAACTCACACCGGGCACCTGTGTGTGCATGCTCAAGATCCTGAGAGGAGAATGGAGAAGGGATTGCAGCACGGCCATCCCCCCGGGGGGTGATTTCTTGCTGTCTGTCTCTTTCTCTCTCTCTGTCTTTCTGGTGAGCGCATGCACCCTATAGCAAAAACTTCTCCAAAAAAAAAAAAGACTATTGTGCATAAAGAAGTCATAGCTACAACTTGTCACTTGAATAAATGTAATATGAAACTGATAAGTAAATAATCCATATGTATATGAAATAATTCATATATACTTGAAAATTTGGTCAAATTTTGCAGAGATAGATTATAAGCTTTTAAGGGCAAAAAGTAGGAATAAGAAAATAAAAATAAGATCATGAGTTATTTTTAAATATATAAAGGTACAAAAGAAAATATGAAAATCCATTATTCCACTATCATGTTTCAAGGTTTTTCCTTTTTTTTCTTTTTTTTTCTTTTTTTTTTAAGAGTGCATGCACTTGCTGGAGACACAAAGAGTGAGAGATGGAAAGCTGGAAATCACCCACTCTTCCACAGGGAGACAACTATGCTGCCATCTCTTCTCCATCCTCCTCTCAAGATTGGGCATACACTCAAATGTGCTCAGCATGTTTTATAAGTCATGGGTCCAGGATTCAAACCATGAAGTTGGCATGTGAGATCCAACACCTCAACCACCACATCATTGTCTGGCCCCAGGTTTCTAAACTTATTCATTTATTTATTTGTTAATTTGCCAGAGGGTGCATGTGATCACTGGAGATAGAAAAAGAGAGAAAAAAGCACCCTCCATAGGGCTGTGTCATGCTACAGTCCCTTCTCCATCTTTCTCCTCCTTTCAGGATTTTGGTCATGCAGCATATGTGTGTTTCTCAAATCGCCCCAGATTAATACATTTTAATAAAGATTATTAATTAATGATGTATTTAATATTACTTAAATTTATGCATTTGTTTATGTAATGAGAGAAAAAAGCAAGCATCATCAACAGAGTCTTAACACTGAGATCCTCCCTACAGCCTTCTCAGTGCACACTGGTCCACTGGGAACCACCAGGTTTCAAATCTTCCATATGGCGTCCAGCATTGCAGAGCTTAAGCTACCTGCTGTGCCACCAGGCAGAGCCAATTTAAAAAAAAAAAAAAAAGGGCACTAAGTCTTTGAACTCCCACTGGTCTGTATATTTACAGTACATCTTAATTCAGGCCCTAAAGTTAGATTTCATCAATTTAAGTTGAAAAATAGATTCATATATCCAAGTTGTTCCAACGATACAAAGCAGTTTTCCAGTGACTGACTAGATAGCATCAGGTGTTTAAATTTTAAACTAATTAAAATCAACTAACGGTTCAGTTTTTTCAGTTGGTAGCCACAAGTCAAATGCTAGACAACCACATGTGGTGGACACCCTAATGAACAGTGCAGCTTAAAAAGATACATGAAGTACTTATCCTGTAGCACCTTTCTTTTTTTCTACTCAATGTACATAATTCTTAAAAATCTTTGCCATATCCTAGAACCGAAATGCATAGACAAAAATGGATAGCTTTGAATTTCAGCATAGATGGCATTGAAAACAATCATGTTACCACTAAAGTTACTCAGTATATCTTAAAAAAAAAAAAAAAAAACTTTCGAAAAAAGCACTTTGGAAACGTTTAAAGTACTTCTGTTTAAACAGATTGTTAAACCGGTCATATCTTCTCATAAACGAAGACGCGCTGTAACTTGCAAAGGCGCAGCTTTCATATTAGCCCCTCCCAGTCTTCTACCCCGCCTTCAAGCACGCGCCCACAAGCACGTACACACATGTATGCACGCACACACATATGCCTGCGACACACATAGGCGCTCACATATATGCACGCACGAGCGTGCGACCACCCAGGAAATGGTTTCTTCCTACCCTCCGCCGGCGGAGCTGACGCCGGGAAGTTTCCGAGGGGCACTCGTGCTGACTTGGTATGGCTGGGGTTCCACGTCTAGTTTAAATGGTATTAGACTCCGCCCACTCCAGATCCATTTGAGGATTAACCGAAAAGGTTGGGAGAGGCGGAGAAACGAGCCGTTCTTGTCAACTGGTCAGTAGCTCCACCTTGGGAAGCGACAGGCTGCGCGCCCGAGAGTAAAAGCTGTCCCTTGCAGGAACATGCAGGACAAAAACGGCCCTGCGCCGCTGATGAGCAGGACCTGCCTCGGTCAGGAAATCGGGAGAGGCGGCCCCTCACAAAGGAGGTCCCCCTCAGTGGTTGCGCAGGCTGAGGTGTTAGCTGCGGCACCTACAGGATCCGAGGCGACAGGTCCCCTGAGTTCTCCTTGGTTTGTGGGTTTCCCACAGAAAAGCCTAGTGGCACCAAAAACTATTTTTCCACAAATACGAAATGGCCCCGAAACTTTTCCCACACGCTCACTTGCTACTCCGCCTCACTTTCATGCTTCTCTTGAGGAGTCGGATCACTTTGTCTGAGCACCAACTCTGAAAACCCAGGAGCTAAACCCAGCCCAACTTCCCGGGAGAAACAGGAGAGAAAACACCGTGAACCCCGGCACACACCCCGGCTTTCCCGGTGCGAAGGTGGAAAAAAAAGAGAGACCGGCCGGTCGCCGCGATGCATGCTAGGACTAGTAGTTCCCACAGCATTCTGAGAGTCGGGTCTCGGCGGAGCGCCCATTGCCTCCGCCGCGGGGAACTACAATTCCCGTGGTGCCTCGCGGCAAAGTGGAAGAAGCGAAATGGGAGGGGGTGCGTCGCGCCTGCGCAGGTCAGGGACCACAGGGAGGCGGAGGCGCCGCGGTCCAACTGCTGAAGTCTCCATGTGACAGTGAGCGGAGTCCCTGCTCTAGGCGCCGCTCGACTCCGGTCCCGGCCGCAAGCACTACCCACTGTTCCAGCGCCAACGCTGGGAAGACTTGGCGTTCGGTCGTGCGACTGCCGGACTTGGGGCGCAGAGTGAATTGCCCCTGCCCGGCCGGGTGCCTGAGGCACCGAGCGAAGAGAGGAGGAGAGCGGGGATTCCTGTCGACCCCGGTGCCCAGGAGGACCGAGACATGAACGGCTTCACGCCTGAGGAGATGAGCCGCGGTGGGGACGCTGCCGCCGCAGTGGCCGCGGGGGGGAACCCAG